ATTTTTTAAATCCCCTGGCAATCGATTTGTAAAAAGTTGTGAGAAATTAAGAAAAATTATTTAAATAATTAAGAATACAAAAAAACCTTTTTCTATTGTTTTTTTTATTCTGATGCCATAAATATTGCTTTTCATAATGCCAGGGAATAAGGATCTTATTTACTGGTATCAAATGTAACAATAATCGGTTGGACTTTGGTACTATAAGTCATGCGAGTTTATGACATACGCGGACTTCAAGAAACTTAAATCAGGATATTTTTGCTTAAACTTGTAAATAAATACACATCACAGGTTGAGTTGTAATTTGTCACATTATACAATATTATGTGAATGACACTGTGCATAGTAACATCAATAATGTTCTCATATAACAGAAACAATTGCTTGAAATATGTGTTTCTATGATAGTGTATAGGAATTATTTCCTAGTAATGATATCCCTTTCAACCAATCTTTCAAATGCAATAGTCAGCATACACACAGTACATGCACACGGAACATACATACCCCGCAACTGGTCAATGACTTATAGTTTCAAAACCAAATCAAAAAACATTGCAATGTTCTCACGGCTTATTCGATTCATCTGATTTACAGAATATACCCATGAACGATGGCACATATCCTGCAGCTTGTATTTTCTCAACAAAGCAACCTTTCAAAAGATAGTGACTTGATTTTTTCTTTCTTCTTTGAGATTGATTTTTAATTCGGTAAAACACTTTTGATATATCTAAAATGTAATACGATTTTTGTTTGTTTAGTTATTCGTCTACAATATCCAATAATTCCAAACTTCATATTGCCCTTAGAAAACCCTACAATAACGGCGTCAGGATGGTGATGCGGAGACTGATTCGTTGCTTTTTAAAATAAATTATGGGTTAATGTGGAAACTATACTTTGTCTTCAATGATTCAAATTGTTATACTGGGATTAGCTTACGGAGAAACTGCGATTTGGAAATCTAGTACTTTCCAACTGAATTTTTTTCTCGGTCGTTACCAATAAAGCCATACGGAGTAAAATCGCATAGTATTGAGAAAGTTATATAATGCAGGAAAATTGTGCGGATCCTGATTATCAGAAAATGATTAATAATGTTCAAATATGTATAGCGAAATTACTTCCTCTAACGTGTTATATAGTGAGAGTGTCATTAATTGTAACGAGCTTCAATAATTTTATTTTTCAAACGTCCATTCGTCTGTCCTTCTGTGAACACTCTGGCGTCAATGCTATTCGTGTACATAATGAATATTCCTTTGTCCATTTATTTCTTCATAACAAATTCAGGAAAGGATTCGCCCTCTTTCTGCTTTAGTTGCATTTAAACTGATTCAATAGGTATTTGCAATTATAGTAAATAACTGATTTCAAAAAATTTTTTCTTTGTTTATATATTAACGTCACGCCAAATTCTAAGAAACTAGGCGCGGGGTAATTCCGTTGTTCGTTTTGGGGTGCGGTCTGGCGTATTTTCCCCATACGTCACCAAGGGGTGCATCCGGTGTTGGATCGCGCTGAACAAAGGAAAGATTCCTCCTTCTCGCGGCACGCAAAGGCGGCTTTCACAGTTTAGCAGGAAACGGCCCTTTCGGCTGCTTTTAACGGCAGCGTTTATATATTCTTAATTAAATATATATTTTTGTTCGTATCAAATTTTCAAATTTCGAATTTGGGTATAAATTAGTCTTTAATTCGGGCAAACGTCTGGTACATTTAGTTTTTCTGTATCATGCGTTTTTCTTGCGTAGGTATGCTTATTGACGTGTAGGTAGCGTACGCACCTTTAGGTTGAATATTTCGATGTGCTCAAATTTTCAAAATTTTTGAATTTGGGTATAATTTAGTCTTTAATTCGCGGCAAACGGTCTGGTACATTTAGTTTTCTGTAGTCATGCGTTTTTCTTGTTTAGGTATGCTTATTGACGTGATAGCGTAGGCGTACGCACCTTTAGGGTTGAATATTTCGCATGCTGCACAAAATTTTTCAAAATTTTTGAATTTGGGTATAAATTAGTCTTTAATTCGGGCAAACGTCTGGTAACATTTAGTTTTTATGTATCATGCGTTTTTCTTGTTTAGGTTGCTTATTGCGTGTAGTAGCGTACGCCACCCCTTTAGGGTTGAATATTTTCGATTTTTGCTCAAATTTCAAAATTTTTGAATTTGGGGTATAAATAGTCTATTAATTTCGCGGCAAACGTCTGCGTATATTTAGTTTTGTCGTATCATGCGTTTTTCTTGTGTGGGTATTGCTAACTTAACGTTAAAGTTAGCGTACCACTTTTAGTGTTTAAATATTTCGATGTTGCACAAATTTTTCAAAATTTTTTAATTTGGGTATTAAATTGTCTTTAAATTCGGGCATACGTCTGGTACATTTAGTTTTTTATGTATAATGCATTTTCTTGTGTGGGTATGCTAACTTAACGTTAGTTAGCGTACCCACTTTAGTGTTGAATATTTCGATGTTGGGGATTAGTTAGAAAATTTTTAAATTTGGGTATAAATTAGTCTTTAATTTAGAACAATAAATTTGGGGCATTACAAATTTTTTCAATATTGCTGATAAATGGGTACGCTAACTTACGACATCCCAGACCGGGCGTTTGAAATATGGAATCGCCGCACCAGCCCCGCCCCGCCCGCGGAGAAACGCGCCGCTAGGGGCGCGCAGCGGGGCATTTGCCCGCGCGTGACGGGGACCGGGCGGCGGCGGGACAGGGCTTAGAGTGGGAGGCCAAAAACGTTCGAAGCGTTGTAGGCGTGGCGGGGGCGGTCGGCGGGGAAAGTAGTGCTGGCCGGTGGGGGGGGGACGGGTCAGGGCAGTGTGCGGTGAAAAGGTTTAAAAAACCGGATCCAGGCAGGCGTTAGGCTGGGGGGCGCGTGTGGGCCAAAGGTTGGGGGAAAGAAGAAGGGCTGGGCCGGTTGCGCGGGGGCGGGGCAGTGGCAGGGCAGGGCAGGGCGGAGCGGGGCGCGTGCAGGAAGCGGCTGGCGGAGTGGGCGGGGCGGGGCAGGGAGGCGGAGGGGGTTTGGTACTGGGGCGGGACCCTTCCGAGTGCCGACGGCTCGGAACAATGCTCGGTCGGAAGGAATTCCGAGAATCCGCACTCAATTTCTGAAACGTCTTCGTCGTCTTCCTAGTTTTGCCCTTGCGATTGTCTCAGTCCATTTTTTTCGTGAAATTCTTTCGTAAAAGAATTCTTTCGAGGTGTCAGGCAAATTCACGGAAATTATTATCTTTCCTGTATTTTGTCTCGTGTAATACAGTCTAGTACAACTACGGTTTGAGAAATGTCGTCTTAGTGTTTCCTACATAAGACTGAGATCTTTTTGTTCAGTGGGTTCGGGTATAAAAATATTATTTGGATGAGACAAATTTTCCTTCGATCGTCATTCCTCCATATTTTGTTTTAACCAGAGAAGTCAAATAATCTATTGTTTCTTTTCTGTCCTCTAAATTTGCGCTGAAGAATTCACAGATGGACGATTTTATCTTTAATTTATACATGTTTTTTGTCATCCTGCAACCTTTTACAAAATCTTTAAATTTTATTTTATCACAATTAATACAAGTTGCAGAATGTTTTTGCGTGCATTTCGAATTAACAGGAAATATTCACTTATTCGCGTAACCGACTTGATCATTTTGGCAGCATGGCGGACACTATAGGAATCCCCGTTCACCCTTCGAAGTCCGCACAGCTATAGAAGTCAGAACTTGGAACATTAACACGTTTTTCCGTTGTATGGATTCCAATGTGTTGGCATTATATGTGTTGTCGATATAATCGAGCACGAGATAAACATCTCAATCAAACTCCTCAGAAACGATGGTAGATCAATCAAGGACCGCATTCCAGAATCGATTTTGGAAATAACACTTCAAAGTAGCATCTAAACAATGCGGAAATCAGTAGAACATATTGCGAACTCATTGACACTGGAAACATCAATTCAATAACAAAAATATGCGGTAGGTATCCTGGATTTGATGACTTCGTCACGCGCTGCGTATTCTTGAAACGTTGGCATCCAAGACGGTACAAGGCAGAAAACAACAGACCCGTCGTTGACAGCCACCTGGGAGGGTCCCCCAGAGCGGCACCAACAGCCCCCGCATGGCTTACCTTGGCAGCGGAAGTGGGCACGTACAGCGGAGGGTCGTCGCGGGCGTCCTTGGCGCCGCTCAGCGTCTGGCTGCCCACGATGCCGTCGGCGGGCTTGGCCACGTAGCCCGGGGGCTGGCCCAGGCGGAAGCCCTTGGCCTTCACCCAGAAGCGGAACTTGGAGTTCTCCACGGAGTTGGTCTCCTCGCCGCGCAGGGTGCGCACGATGCGCGCGTATTTGCGCAGGGTGATGGTCTTGGTCTTGGCGGAGTCGCCGTAGGTGTGGATGACCCAGGGCTGGTAGTGCTGGAACAT